AACGGTTATTGACTCTGAGATGTGTGTGTCCTCTATTGTGTAAGGGTGATCTGATTTTTATCTCATAAGTGTCTCCTTGAACTTATTACACAGCTTTTTTTGTTAGGCTAAAGCTTTTGTAATAGGGTAATAGCCTTCGGCTAATTTCAATGCGAACTTTGTAATCATGCTATAATTCTAATCTACTTCAGATGCCCAAAAAAGATGGGGAAAGAGAGTAGAACACACAAAGCTACAAAATCATAGTAAACATATTCGAGTAACAAAATCTAGATTTATAAGAAATCAGTGGAAGAGCAATTAGTTTGTTGGTGAAAACAAAATGAAAGAGTTAAAATTCTACACATTTCGTCCGAGAGAAAAAGGAGATTTATAGCATAGAAGTGGGGATCATGGTCTCGTGAGGATTGATAGAGTGGAACCGTTCGGTGAAAAAAGTTTTATACAAATATATTTTTCTCATAACTTTTGTGGTGAAGACACTTCATAGAAAACTTAGGTGTCAAAAGGGCAGTGATTTACGTTATACTTGTATTTTTTTTAATCGACCCTCTCATTGAAAGTAGCCGGTAATCGATAGTCAAAAGATAACTTCAGCAAAAGTAACCTCGGACTGGAATCTGCCAAGTTGCACAACTATTCTTCTTGTATCTTTGCCTTCTTACGAGCCAAAAACCGTGCTTTAGCAGCAGCAATCGCATCCTCATTTTTCTTGTGGTGGTTAGTGGCTTTTGGAGCTTCTTTTGATGCCTCTTTGATGGATGAGTCTATTTCTTCGGCGGCATCTGAACCCATCTTCTTCTCTAATTCGGCTTCCTCCACTTCTTTCGGTTCCATACTTCTCATTCTCTTTGATCCAACATTTCCAGATTCGGGCAACACTTCCTTCACCGGTGCATCTGATTTCTTCTCTTCCCTTGCCTCTTCTTTCCTCAGCTCCTCGAGTTTCTCTGCCTTTCTTTGTTCCTCGAGCCTCTCTGCCTCTTTAGCTTCGATATCCCGAGCTCCAAACGCCACATTTTTGCCAATGTTGAAGTAGAAATCACTCAAGTCTTTCTTCTTTGTAACCTAACAGAAGATGAAAACAAAGCAAAAACGCCAGCATGAGTTTAAATCGCAATAAAAACAATTAGGTTGAAAATCCATCAAAGCAAAAAGGCAGGCATGAGTTGAAATAGTAACAAAAACAATTCAGTTATCATCATTACTCATACAGAGAGACATGAAAATGACTTCTAGACTGACCAGTGCCATCACCAACTAAAGCAATCACATGCAACATGATCTAAGAAGAACAGTTTGCGACCAAGCAGAACTACCTGAGCTACTAAAGCCAGAAACCAAAAAGCAAAAAGGGACTTCAGTTATCTTAACCACCCTAGTTTAGTAGGCCAAATCAGTAGCATGATACATAATGAAGGAGCAAAGCGTAGACACAAAAACAGAACTTACATCGTCTTTTTCCTCTCGAAGTTCACGCAATCTTTCTTCGGCCAGCCATTTCTTTTGTTCTTCGAGTTTCCTTTTGTAGGCACCAGTTATATACTTTTCTTTATCTGAAAAAAGATGTTCGTCTTTCGCCCTCTCTTTCGCAAGCTTTCTCTCGTAAACTATTTCATGTTCTTTCTGTCTACGGTCTGCCTGTTTCATCAAATGCTGGATATATCTTGGCTGCAATTAGAAGAAAAAAATAATAGTAAATGAGCCAATTAGTCAATGCTAGAACCTATAACAACAATCCTAAAGAACATTGAAACAAGATTTTGATTCCATAAGCTAAGGACAAGCTCAAAAGTAGAAGATTTTGATTCCATTACCTTGCGCTCTTGACGATCTTGCATTCGTGGAAGAACTGCTTTCTGTTTCATGTTATCATAAACATCGTCGTAAGCAAAAGCACAAGGGTCCTCCTCCAAGGCTTTCTTGTGCTGCTCCTCGATCTATATAAAACACCCAAAAATCAGGAATCAAGGAGATAAAGGAAACAAAATAAATCAGGAAACGCACTTCCTTAAGAGCCTTGGTCTTTGAAGCTTGTCGAGAAATCTCCTTCTCTACATCGTCGTCTTCATCTTGAGCAAAGATTGAAGCGGTAGGAAGTGAGGACTGCTTTTTCTTAGAGGGAGCCCTGATCTGTAGTCCGTACTTGCTCATCTTCCAATTGAAACTCAACTGGAATCGGCACAAACCCTAATCCACCGGAGTTGGGAAACAATAAAATCGAGAGGAAGGAATAAGATCAAACCAATTTCCAAGCCGGAGGACCAAATTTACGGCCCGGCTGAATGTTTTAATGGGCCGACATTTTCCTTTATATTAATTTCGGACCCTTGTTCTTATATTTTGGCCCATTTAATATTAAGGGGAATTGGCGTAATCAGCCAACGAAAATTTAAGAAAGGCAAATTTCAAAAATACATTAATTCCAT